ATGCCGTCCTCTGGATTCTGTTAAGTTAATCGATATTATAGCTCTTATTTAGAGCCGGCCACCAAACAACAGCACTGTAAGGCCCAAATTTTACATAAAAATGTAGGCCCACAAACTAAATTAATAATAAACATAAGGGGAAGGAATCACCTAATATATTTTTTTTGTTTTTTATTAACGATTCTCAAAATAAAGACAAACATCGTTTTAGTTCAAATAACAAGTACAAATAACAAATAAGAAGTACTAATAAGCAATTTGATTTGAATATTTATTATAAAAACGAAGCTATTTTGCTACTCGCTGTCCAATAAGTCTGCCACTGTTTTGCCTTTTGGCCATTTAGGTAGTGCAACCACTTGGAGAAGACTGGATGCTGTAACGTTGACATGCGTTTTTAAACGCTGTTTGTGAGCAATGGCACACCTTTTAGCCCCAACGTCGACTGTTGGCATGCCAAGGTCACGATGGAGATCACTGTTTCTAATGTAATATGATGCATTTACGTGGTAACGTAGTATTTTATTTTGAAAGCGCTGGATAGTTGCAATGTGTTTCTTGCTGGCACAACCCCAGAATTGTATGCCGTAACGCCAAGTCGGCTTTAGTATTGGTTTATAGACCATTAGTTTATTATGGATTGCCAGTTTAGAGCGCCTGCCGATGAGGTGGTGAACTTTGTTTAGTTTTAGGTCAAGCTCTCTTAATTTTTTCTTAACATGCGCTTACCAGCGCAGCTTGGAGTCGAGCGTAAATCCCAGGTATTTGGCTTCGTTGGCGTGTGGAATTTCTGTGGCATCGATATAAATTTTTTTTTTGCCCATGTTTTCGATTGCTAGAACCGCAGTATCATCTGCAAATGTTGCTGTAACTAGTTGGTTTGCAGTGTGTAAGTCGCGTGTATACAGGAGATATAGAATGGGCCCAAGAGTGCTCCCCTGCGGGGCGCCTGCGTTAATCTTCTTTAGTGCTGAATGGGCATCTTCATATTTAACACTAAAGTACCTGTCTTTAAGATACCATAATAGCAGCTCACTGTATTGTATAGGCAACAATGACTCAAGTTTATGAAGTAATCCTTCATACCAAACCTTGTGGTAGATTTAAGAAGACGGCACAACATACTTTCTTTTCTTGCATCGCCGATTCAATGGCATTTACAACTATGTGTATTTGGTCGATGGTTGAGTGGTTTTTTCTAAATCCGAATTGATAATCACTAATTAAGCGTCTTCTCTCGAATATTGGTAATAAACGCGGTAGTAGTAGTGATTTAGCAGCTTTCCACAGAGAGTATTCATTATTTTTGTCTGCCGTGAGGACCATCAGAAAACTATTAAAGGTATTAGGTATTTTTGTATGATTTGATGGCTATATGTAATTTTTTACTTGCTCGGTTTAGTTGCGACTTAATTAACGGACATCTAGTTGCTTGCCAACGTTTTCGCAGTTTTCGCTTCTCCGTAATTTTTTTGTGATGAAGGGTGGGTATTTTTTACCATGTAGAGTTTGGAGTTTTTGTGTTGGTGTACTGTTCCACGTTGCCATCTGCAATTGCTGAGTGAAATGAAGTACTGCGTCATCTAGTTGCTCGCTGTTAACAATATGATCACACTTGAGTAAATGTACAAGCTGAAGCTGAAAATATTTCCAGTCAGTAAATGTATTTGCTAACTTGGGCGTGTTCTGCTGGAATGTTTTTATAGACAAAGAAGTCGATTAGGTCTGGAACTTTGCTAGTATCCGACGGTCAGTACGTTGGTTTACCAGTTGAAATTGAATTGCAAGCTGCGAGTTACATGGCTTTGTACATTTCTCTTCGTTTCGTTTCAGTAAGTCTTGAGCCCCAAAACGTATTTTTTGCATTGAAGTCTCCTCCAATTATGTAATGGCCTTGAAACCGGTTAAAAAGAGATAAGTAGTCTGCGCACTTCAACTGATGCCTGGGAGGACTATATAATGCAGTTACGACCAGCGGCTGATTAAAGGTTTCCACGGAAACAGAAGTAGCTTGAAATTCAATTGTGCTATATTGTTCTAGTAAATGATGTTTTATCGAGTTTCTAATTATGACATAGCTGCCACCCCTAGCGCAATTATCGGGATGTATGGTATGATATAGAGTATAGTTTTTAAACGTTATATGCGATTGCTTAGTAAAATGAGTTTCAGCGATTAAACCGATATCAATGTTTTCGCTATTTAATACGACTTCGAGTTCATTTTTATGTTTTGTTAATCCATTCACATTCCATAAGAATAGTTTCAAACGATTAGTCATAATCTAAAAACTGCATATTGTGCTGTTGCACGCTTAGACGTTGTTCGAGGGTTTTAAAGACCTCTTCTTGTAGATTAAGTTTTGTTAAGATAATTGACAACGCGTTGTTGCCTTGTGAGTCAGTACTTTGAATGGGCCCTTTTACAGTTTGGGCGTAAGTGACTGTTCTAACACTAGTAAATAGTACATAACGAGTATACCTAATATATAACGAGTTTCTTTAAAACATGTTGTTAGATTAAATTAATTTTTGGATAGATTAATGACCCTGTAAATTTCATATTTTTTACTTAATTAATTTCTTTATGTAAACCCAATTATTTTGGGCATCTTTTTTTTGTAAACTACAATATGTAACTATTTTGTTAGGGACCTCAGTGGGTGCTCAGACTAGTTGGTCTAGGCACATGTTGGTTCGTTTGGTCATTGTTGACGATCACCATGTGAATGAGTGAACTGCGATGTTGGTTGAATTACCTTCTGCATGGCTTATGCTGACGTAGGGTAATTTAACTAGTTATCCAGATTTCCATTTGGCCATAGCTGATGGAGGAATGGATGACGAGTCATCAACACTGTTAGAAGGCGTGTGGATTTACTGTAAAGGTATCTTTTACCATAAATTTTATATAAAATTAAAATATCGATTTCTCGATATTACGAAGTCTCTATTTTGACGACAGATCTAAAACTAACTCTTCTTTAACTACCTCGAACCAAGACGTTTCGGTTTCTTATTTACTAACATATATTTTATTTACTTAATTTCTATTGGTTAAGATAATACATAATTTTAATTTTTACTTACTCATTCCATTGGTTAATTGCAATGTATTTCAATGACACTCATTTTAAATAGAAGTATTGCAGAGCGATCATATTGCATTTGGATTGCATGCGGAAAACATAGTTTACTTCCATGTATTCCAAATATGGAAATCCAAATAGCTAAGCGCATATTGAAGTAATAAATTATGCGACAGAATATTTGTCATAAAGAAATGACACAAAGGCGAGTCAAACTACTTAACTCGTAAAATATTTAAAAATGGCCTTTTGGGTTTTTATATCATAAATTACACATAGGCGGAAACTTAAGTGTTTTGGGTAAATGTGTCATGCTAATTACCGCACACAGTACATTGTGTGTGGTCAAGGTTAATATGACACTACACCCTTACCCTTTTAAGAAAAAATTTCTTTTTGAAATAAGCAATGAAAAAAAATTTTTTAATTGACCAACGGTGATAAGTAAGTAATTACATTTATTACTATAATAGTTTGTATAAAGTATTGTTATATTTGTTTTTATATTTAGAAGAGTTTCGATTCATCCATAAAAAATAGTATAATATTAAGTAATATACTTCTACATTTTTGATACTCATTTACACAGGTCAACAAAATATATTTTTTTTTCTGTCCCAGATATGTTGTTGGGTGATCCTAGATGTATTTTTCGTGCTGATTCCAAATCTGCGTTCAGATTTTTTCGATTACGTATAGTTTTCTTAAGACAACCGGATTAACAGATAATTCAAGGGGGTTTTAGCAAGTAAATCGTGAATATAAAAAATGGTCCTTACTTAGGATTTTCTTACATATTGAGAATCTGGCAAGTCCCTTTTTAGTGTCCAGCAGTAATCTGTTAACATGTTGGTGAAATTTCCTTGGTAGCGTTTTACCATGTGTGAAATATCCTGGTGAAAACGCTCACCGTGTTCATCACTAACGGTACCAAGATTTGGTAGAAAAAAGTCCAGGTGACAGTGAAGGAAGTGATGTTTTAAATACATTTTGCAGCCCATTCTATGGTATGATTCAATGAGACTAGCCACCAGATCGATATAATTTCCAATCATGATATTTCCTAGAAAATTTTCAACTACATTTTTGAATGAGTTTCACGCACTATTTTCTGTTGAACTTAATTGAAATTTCGAATCCTTAAGCACTTCCCTAATCTGTGGTCCAATAAAAATACCTTCTTTCATCTTTGCCTGCCTCACTTATTTTAGGGAATTTTTGTTTCAAATAAGTAAAATCACCACCATTTTTGACCATGGTTTTAACAAAATTTTTAAAAAGTCCTAATCTTATATGCAGAGGTGGTAAAAGAATATTTTTAGGATCGACGAAAGGCTGAAAAAGGACACTTTTGGTTCCAGGAACGACTGCTTTACTTTGTGGCCAATCTTTTTTCAAGTAATGCAATTTTATATCTCTGCTATCCCACTTACAGATGAAGCAACAATATTTCGTGTTTCCAAGTTGTAAGCCTAGTAAAATTGCAATAATTTTTAAGTCACCACGTAGTGAATATTTTTAAGAGTAACTGCATATTGGGTTTGTGTTCTCAATGAACAGGGTATGGTCATGCGCAAAACATCAGCCTATGCCTTACCAAGACCATGGTGCGTGGTACTTTATCACACCCTTCTCGAGGTGAACCTGTTTGTAGTTGATAACTTCATTGACTCAACAGAACACTATGGATCTAGAGAGGAAAACTCAATAAAACCCGTGCCGATGAGATGAATGGCACTAAGTTAGTGTGTCTCTAAACGGAGACCTCCGGATAACTGGCGCCCTCCGGTTGTAACTTAGCCTTGTCCGGGTATAGCGGATCTCTGCCCGGATCGACTTTCCTTTCTCCGCAACTCGTGGCAACGCCACCACTACTAAGTCCTTTAGCGACACGATGAAGGGCTCCATCATAATGGCGGTCATTGATGAAAATGATCCAGATGGCACTATTACTCTTGAAAAATGGGATCAAATTGAGCGAAAGCTCCTTGACTTGTACGTCGAAGTTCTTAAGGAATTTCCAGGTACAATTCCCAAATGTCGTGACGGTGGATGGTTTCAGGGCCATGTGAAACTAGTCGCCTGCGTTGATCAGCGTTCTGTTGATTTCTTTCGCATTGCCATCTCCAGAATTGGTGAGGTCTGGCCAGGCGCAAAGCTTAAAGTCGTTGCCAAGGAACAAATTCCTGGCCGACCTAGGACGCGTTCCTGGATTCCAGTCGAACCATCCGACCCTCAGCGGATTCTGGAGCTAATTCGGGTGGGAAACCCTGATCTAAATACGTCCACGTGGAAGGTCACTAAGCCGGAAGAAGCCAAAGGCAAGTTTAGGTCGGTCAGTTTTGTGATCGACAAAGCCTCTCTGGCCATTTTGGCGCGATCTGGTGGCGTATTAAATTACGGTTTTTTCCCCATAACTATGAGGGTTTACAAAAAAGATGAGGAGCAATCCTCGTCTGATGTACGGGAATCAGCGGCAATTTCTCAACACACTGCTGATCCCTTATCGAAGTGGGCAATATTAAGCCTGCTTCCATGACCGAAGTGAGTCCGGTTATTCCATCTGAAGACTCACCTGTGTGCATGGACACTTCAGTGTCTGCTCCTTCGCCAGCTCACTCAATTACATCAGAGGAGAGCATAGGCATGCGCTATCTTTTCGATGAAGAGGAACTCCTGAGTAATGACTCTGAGGAGGATAGTGCTCTTGATGTCACTGTGGTGGAGAAAAATGGATCCACACGTACTGAAGATGCGGGTACAGCAAATTAACCTGCATCATAGCAAGGCTGCATCCGCCAGTCTACTGCAACGCCTCAGCAACAACGAGGCTGATATGGTCCTGATACAAGAACCATGGATTTATAAGGATCTTGTATGCGGAATCAGGGCTAATAACTACAACCTATTTTATGCGGTAAATAAGGGTAAGCCTAGGTCCTGCATAGTGGTTAACAAAAAATTTAATGCTCTCTTACTTTCGCAATATAGTGATGGTGACCAAACCGCAGTAAGTATCGAGGGCTCCTGGGGCCAAATATGGGCAGTTTCTGCATATATGGCACATGACCATGCCACACTACCATCGAATGTCCTGATACAGCTAACAAGCAGCGCCAGGAGACTCGGGGTAGAGCTTCTAATAGGTTGCGATGCCAACGCTCATCATTAGGTTTGGGGCAGCTCAAATACTAATGAAAGAGGTGAGTTACTTTTTGATTTTGTATTTAGTAACAATCTGTTCATCTGCAATGATGGCAATATGCCAACTTTTATTACAAAAAACAGGCAGGAAGTGTTAGATGTCACTCTTGCTACTGCTAGGGTTCACGAATCGGTCAGGAACTGGAAAGTGTCCACTCAACACTCGTTCTCAGACCATATGATTCTAGAATTCACCTTAACCTTGGATGAATCGAACATCTACAATCAAAAAACGTTTAGAAATGTTAAAAACACAAACTGGACGAATTATAATGCAGCTCTAAGTGAGCTGCTTTTAACCATTTCCTCCGATCCCTATGGGAACACTTTTGATCTAGACAATCAAGTCCAAGATCTCACCTCAGTGCTCAACGAAGCTTTCAGTTATGCTTGTCCCCTCACACAACCTAGTAGGAAATGTAACCCACCTTGGTGGAATAAGCATTTAGGTCTTTTACGAAAGGAGTGTAGGAGACTCTTCAACAGAGCAAAATTATATAATAATAAGAGTGATTGGCTGAATTACAAAACCTCTCTGCAAGAATATAAGAAAAATTTACGTACGTCCAAGAGAGACACTTGGCAATCGTACTGTCAAGAAATAAATAGCAATTCTGAAACCTCTAGACTGCGTAAAATCTTATCCAAAAATCCATCTGTCCCAGAGTTACTCAAAAAATCTGACGGGACATGGTGCAATAATAGTAGCGAATCATTACAATTACTACTAGATACTCATTTTCCGGGATCTTCTACTTCGGTAACTGCATCCTCAGAGTGCCTTAATCTCTCACCGGTTAACTCTATTAAGGTTAACCTGCAGATCGTCAAATGGGCTATTTTTAGTTTTAAACTCTACAAATCACCAGGACCGGATGGTATTCATCCAATTGAGCTCCAGAATTCGTGGGAGTTAATACACAACCGGCTTTTGGCAATTTTTAGACATTGTTTCTTATTTAACTATGTCCCGATTAAATGGAGGGAGGTTAAAGTAGTTTTCATACTCAAAGCAGGAAAAACCACGCACCATAACCCCAATGAACTCCGTCCTATAAGCCTCTCCTCTTTCATGTTGAAGGCTCTTGAAAGAATAATAGACGTAGAAGTAAGGCGTGCTGTAAGCCCCAACCAGTGGTCCCCCTCACAGCATGCCTACACTAAGGGAAAATCTACAGAGACAGCTCTCCACTCCCTCACTTACAGAATAGAAAAATCCATAAAACTCAAAGAATTTTGTATGGTTGCTTTTGTAGATGTTGAAGGGGCCTTCAACAATATACTCCCGAGTGCAATAGTAAGCGCGATCTCGCGTCTGTGTGTTGATGATGCGCTCATTGGCTTTATAAATCAGCTGCTAACTGGCAGACTCATTGAAGCAACGATGGTCTCATCAACGGCACGCAGAAGGGTAAATAGAGGTACCCCCCAAGGAGGAGTACTCTCCCCTCTCCTTTGGAACATAGTGGTGAATGAACTGCTAATAAAACTGAAGGCAGAGGGCTGCGAAACTATTGCATATGCGGATGATATTGCGATAACAGTCACCGGAAAATATACTACCACTCTTAGGGATATTCTACAAAATGGTCTTAATATCCTAAACAATTGGACACAAAAATGTGACCTTGGGGTGAATCCCAATAAAACTGAAATCGTAGTTTTCACAAGAAAACATACGGTCCCGAATCTTTCTCCACCCTCTCTACGAGGTTCTGTGATACATGTGAAGGAGGAAGCCAAATTTTTAGGTATAGTTTTCGACAGGAAACTCACTTGGAAGAAAAACACTCTAGAGCGCTCAAGAAAAGCCAATGTTGCGCTTCTTCTATGTCAGAAAGCTATTGGCAAGAAGTGGGGTCTTCAACCTCGCATCACCCAATGGCTATATATAGCTGTTATTAGGCCCATATTGATGTATGGTATTACGGTGTGGTGGACAGCTCTTGATAAATCTTCGTACTGCTCAGTACTTAACAGGATTCAGCGTAGAGCTGAACTCTGTATTAGCGGGGCGCTATGCACCACACCATCCATTGCACTAGATTTGATGCTTCAGTTACTGCCAATGGATATTATTAGTAAACAAATGGCAGCTTCATCTGCTTTAAGACTAAAAGCTACCTCACAATGGAGAGACAGTGACTATGGTCATGCCTCCATTCTAAATCTTTTCAATTTTACTCCCAAAAACGTTGATTACATCACACCCACTCTCAACTTTGACAGAAAATTTGATGTCGTGTTTCCATCTAGAGAGGTATGGACGTCAGGTGGTCCCTTCTTAGATGAGGGCGTAACCATCTTCACTGACGGATCCAAAACAAGTAGTGGTGTAGGTAGTGGAGTTTTCTCAGAGGAATTGAACAAATCTTCCTTCTTTAGGCTTCCAGATCATTGTAGTGTCTTTCAGGCGGAAGTGGTCGCCATCAGGGAAACTATAGCTTGTAGATGATATATTTGGCAGGAATATATACATACTATCAGACAGTCAAGTTGCATTAAAGTCCTTGAGTTCGGTACAATTTACATCTAGGACGGTTCTTGACTGCTACACATCTCTAAACGAAATGTCGACGCACCTCAATATTTTTCTAATCTGGGTTCCCGGCCATAAGGATATTTTCGGAAATTGCAAAGCAGACGAGTTAGCCAGAAAGGATGCTTCAGAACCATACTCGGAGCACCTAGACCATCTGGGCATATCGCTAACATCATGTAAATTGATATTGAGTTCTTTCTGCACTAATACTTTTAATAAAAGATGGGAAGACTCAACGATATGTAGACATCTGTATGCAATCTGGCCATTTTCCGATAAAAGAAAATCGAAAAATCTCATTGAGATGTCCCGCAAGGACATTGGTCTTCTGGTAGGGTAGACTACAGGGCACTGTAAGCTAGGGAACCATGCTAGAAGACTAGGTCTTCCTTTCAACCAAATCTGTCGTAGCTGTGGGGAGGACGATGAGAGCGCATCTCATCTGTTGTGTTTTTGTCCAGCTCATGCACGTCGGCGATTTAGTACTCTAGGGGCCCCCTTCCTTGAGGACCTGGACCAGTTACAGGATCGGGCTTTAAATAGCATTTTATGCTTCGCAAAAGGTTCTAGGTGGTTTTAAACCCTGAGGTTTTTATTATTTATATACGGCATCACAATGGGCCAATAGGCCTAAGTGGATCCACTAGTGATCACCGGTATAACCTAACCTAACCTAACTGCATATTCTCGTAAGATTCTTTCATATCAGTTCCATGGCCTAACGATATTGCGCAGATTTCATTTCCATTATGTAAGAGACAGCCTTTAAACTGACCTTGGAAAAATGAATGAACAAACGCCAATCATCATCGTTGTATTCAAAATCAAGAGAAAGAATATCATTGCAAGAAATTAGGACATTTTCGTTTTTGGATCCAATAATTTCGAACCCTTTAATGATGATCCTAAGATTTCACTCTTCTTTTTGGACAATTTTAAATTGCACCCTAGATAGTTCAAATCGTCTTGCGTTATAAGATAAGGTCCATCAGATGTCCTGGGTCCGAAATTAGGGTCCTTTGTGTTTGGGCTTTGTTCATTCTCACATTCTTGATTACTTTTGGAATCTTCGTAAGTATTAACATTTTCCGGTGGTTTCGGCAATGGTAAATATTCAGAGTGAGCGACTGGTCGTATCGCTAATTGCAAGTTGTTTTGATATTTTACTGTGAGTTTTGACTTCGGTTTAATTTTTGTTAAACAAAAATAACAGTTTGAAAAATGATTTATATGTTCACGCCAAATCATGGGGCGGCAAATTTCAAATTTTAATTTTTGTTAAACAAAAATAACAGTTTCAAAAATGATTTATATGTTCACGCCAAATCACGGGGACGACAAATTTCATATGACGTTTTTCCTCAGTCCAACCTGTGAGAAGCCTTACACAGGTGCTGCAAATTACATGAGGCGCCCTCCTTAATCCTAGTCACCCAACGGACAGTCAAAATAAAGTTTAGAACACTATCTCAAGAAGGTACTCACGAAAATAATCACCCCTATTCTGAATCGCATGGGAATGGGAGTTTGTTCCCTATCCCAAAGTTTGCTATTCTGAATAATTTGGGAATGGGAGTTTTGTTCC